TCTCCTTTAACTTTCAGTTCTTTAGCGAAGACCTTTTACAGCAGAATGTCACCTACAAGGTGACCTCTAGCAGGGTACAAAGTGTGTATGGAGCATGTCATAAAGCAGTTGTGTTAAGGTACATTTAGATCTTCGGATATGTTTTCTAAAATACAATGAATAAGTTTGCAGCCTGTTTCTTCTTGCTTTCTTTAAAAAGATCAAAAGTTGTAGAGAGTTTATTTCAGTGCATGTGGTAGTATTTTGTGTGTGGCTCTTTGTTCCTGTTCTAAGCTGTTATTAACCACTGAAGTGAACCTTTTCCCAGGTTTGGCCTTTTGGTGTTCACAGTGTATTCAAAACCTAATTACAGATTAGTCTATATTTGAGACTTTTAGAGCGAGTATCAGAAGACTCAAAAAGAAAATGAGAGTAGTAGTATCATTTCATGTGGAGATAAAGAGACCCAAAACATGAATGGGTGTCAAGTCATCTAAAGAAAAGGAAAAAGAGAAAGAACTTCATTCACGGGGCTGACGGTTTATGAGTTAGGGATTATGGGTATATTCATGCCTCAATCAAGGAGCACAATGAATTGATGTTTGAAATAGTTTATCTTTTAAGTAAACATTGGATAACTGGAAAGTAGATTCAGCATTAACAACATGCAGAATTGGCTAGTTCAGGGTAACAGAAATAACAGTTTGTTAATCCTCTCCTGGGTTGTCAAGTAAATATAAAATTGTATGAGAATTCTCTAACTATTAGTACTTACTGCAAATAATAGGGGGAACTTGTAATACAGTAGTTAGACTAATCAGGATGAGGATGTTGTTTCTAATAGTGAAGTGGTTCCAGAGAGCGAGATACTGAAAACAATGTAATAATTGAAAGCAATGTAATACAGAGACATTGACTTGGAATGGTCAGAGAGTAGAATGCTGTACTGTGCTAGCACTCAGTCTCATTCCTGGGTTAGCTTTGTTTTCTGTGCAGCCCAATAGTATGCCGGACAGTGCTGGTAGTGTATCGACTTTAGAATAAAGAGATTCAAATATGATTTAAATATGGGAAATAAGGTTGCTTTTTTAGTGAGATATGACTGTAGCAAAGCATGAAATTGGTTGAGTATCTACAGCTGTGTCTATGTGCATGTGCGCGTGTGTGGGTGTGTGGTCAGCCCACGTTAGCCTTCTTAATTAGGTGCAATAATTAAGTTGAAGTTTCTTTTTCCATCGGCATTGTGTTGTGAAACCTGCGTGTTCTCTGTTCCATGGTTCAAATGACCCCTCAGCTTCCCACGACCTTCTCTGTCAATATGCACCCTGCCTGCCTCCTCTTCGGCTTACTCCAGCCTTTGTGATACGAGCTTCAGCCCTTCTGGCCCACTGGTAACATCTGGGAAGCCTGTCAAGGGTCTTTTTCTTCTTGGTAACTCTCAGGCCTTATTTTCTGTGCAATATGTTTGGGGAACTTCACATCTCATCAGTTTATTTCGTATTGACCATGGACAATGAGCCAGACATTTTTATACACTGAGGATGATGGACCTTTTTTGTCTAGTTTTGGACTCATATTATTTTCCATGGATTTCTCAGATGTGACTAGATCTAGTCTCCCCAAGATGTACATTTGTACTATTCTTTCTTAGTGTGTTCTTGTTTGGTTTGTTTGATTGGTTTTTTTAATTTATTATACCTGTGACATATTCGATATGCCAAACACAGTAACAACAAGTCTCACAATGGGGGCATTACTGGGCCCGCTCGAGCAAATGAATGAACGGGAGGACAGTGCTGTTATAGTTTAGGTAACATGGTTATGCTAATGTTATCATTTAAGGTGTTGAATGTAAGTTACTGCACTCCACCACCACCAAAGCGCCATGCACCCTCTCCCAATAGCTGTTGTTTTTTTTACCAGAATACATTATGTTTCCTATAGAAGGTTAAACATAACAAATGTTCTTGAAGAAATCGCCTTAAAAAAAAAATCAGAGTCTCATACGGCAGCAGATCAAGGATGTGTTTCTGAATCAGAGGGACTCAGACATGGCTAACTCTGCAGCGTATATCCCCTTTATCAATAGCTAAACCTAGTGAGCAGTAAGAGAATATAATAGAGAATATAAGAGAATATAAGATTTGAATTATCCAGAGCGCAGCAGGTACTTCTCCCAAAGTCATGATGGCATCTTTTTCACTCCACTAAGTGCATTTTAAAAGTGTAAGAATAAAAGGAGCTGAAGTTTTTTTTATTTCATCTTTAAAAATCACACTACCAGTCCTGGAGTGATAGTGGGTAGTGCGATTGCCTTGCACATGGCCAACCCGGATTCAATCCCCAGCATCCCATGTGATCTACCCATACACTGCTGGGAATAATTCCTGAGTGAAGAGCCAGGAGTAACCCCTGAGTATCGCCAGGTGTGACACCCCCCCAAAAAAAATGAAAAATAAATAAAAATTTTAAAATCACACTATCATTATTTATTTGTAACATTTTTACCTTTTGTTTTAAATCCTTTTTTTGTCCTCCTTGGCGTCTGGGGCTTGGTGGCACAGCCACTTACTATAAGTATCGGTAAAAACATAGTTCTATGTTTTTACAAATACCCCTTTTTTAAAAAAAAAAAAGTGGGGGGAGGTATTTGTTTCCTTTTTATTGCCATTTTTATATTGAGTTCAATGGTCCTTTCTACTTTCACTTAGGGGGAAATGTTCATATCCTGATTTTGAAAAATTGGGTTTTGATTCTGGTCCACAGACATGCACACGGTGGCTTTTGGCCTCTTTCCATGCAAATGGATTTTGCGGTGGCGGCTCTTCTGACTGGTGCTACTGTCCCGCGGTGATGGAGGTCACTGACAGGGCAGAAGGATAGACGAGCTTCCGGCTCTGCATATCAGCAGCTGCCTGCTGGTCTCCTATCTTGGCGCAAACAGACTCAGATTCCCCGCCTGTGTCACAGTACAGCTTTCCCCAGTCGAAAGAGCTCGGCCAAATGTCTCAAGGAGCTCTCGAGGCTCTGCACACCTGCTTTAGATTATCATGTGTTGCGCTATTTAAATTCGATTATTTTTTAAGACCCATCCATTTCCAAAATTCTGTGACATAAATTAGGGCATTCTTCTTTCCTCTTCCCCTCCCCCTTTTTAAAAAAATGTTTTAGCTAGTAAAGTAAAGGCCCTCCCGTTGACCATCGATTTGCTCGATCGGGCCCAGTAACGTCTCCATTGGAGACTTTGTTGTTACTGTGTTTGGCATATCGAATATGTCATGGGGAGCTTGCCAGGCTCTGCCGCGCGGGCAAGATACTCTCGGTAGCTTGCCGGGCTCTCCGAGAGGGGCGGAGGAATCGATCTCGGGTCGGCCATGTTGGCTGCGTGCAAGGCAAACGCCCTACCGCTGTGCTATCGCTCCATTTAGCTAATGAACTGCAGTTATGTGAAACTCTGTCTTCATTGAAAAATATAGGTGAAGCTGTTTCTAAGGAATTAGATGAATGAATGTTAAAAATTAGAATGCCTTTTTTGACAAAGGAAATGTAGTATGTTTACTGATTTTTCACTTCTGGCTGAAAAATAGTACAGATGACCAGAAAGTATGAACTAAACTTCCAAGAGATAGGTTAGGGTTACTTTTTCTACATTCTCCGGTTTTATATGTAAGATGCGATGCTGCATTTATGATAACTTCCATATTTTCTAGGTATGTAGTTTGATTAAAACAATAAGCATTTTCACTCCGTAGATCTTGTATTCATCTCAGTCTAGTACCTACCATTAGAAATGTGGAATTGTTGGTGGAGTACTGTAAAGACATTGTAATCTTTGTATACAGCCATTCCAGGCTTTGCTTAGTGCCTGCGTTGTTAATACGAATTCATAGAAAGAACAATCTTCCCCTTTTAGGAAACTCATCACTAATGCTAACTGGCAAAATCTTGAAAGGGTAGTAGGCATACTGTAAGCTTCAGTTACATAATATTATTTCTTTTCAGTTGTAAAAGGTATAGATGTTAAATATTGAATGAAATCTTGAAAATATTTGGAAATCTGTAAACATCTGGCATACTTTTCTTATTGTCAACTAGAAAAGTACATTTTTTAAAGTAGCTGTGCTTTGCTGGAGAGAGAGTATAGTTTATAAGGTGATTTTCTTGCATGCAGCTGACCTAGATTCAATCCCCAACACCATATTTGGTCCCCAGGCCCTCCCACAAGTGAACCCTGAGCACAGGATGGTAAAGCCCAAAATAAAAAGTACATGCATTTTGAAAATATTGTTGCACTTTTTATGTTTGTTACAAATATTTTCTTTTTCTCTTAATTTTTAAGTACAGTTTGATGTATAAAGTATCAGTTGAATGATGCTCACATAGATCTTTCCTTTGTTAGATCTTTGCTAAGTACTTGCCTGAATTCTCAATTTTTTTCTATTTTTGTATTTGTTTTTTGTTTTGTTTTTGGGTCACACCCGGCGATGCACAGGGGTTACTCCTGGCACTGCACTCAGGAATTACTCCTGAGGTGGTACTCGGGGGACCATATGGGATGCTGGGAATCGAATCCAGGTTGGTACATGCAAGGCAAATGCCCTGCTCGCTGTGCTGTCACTTGAGCCCCAGATTCTCTATTTTTAAAAATTGTTTTGTTCCAAATATTGCTAACATCATTTCAAATGTTGCTAACTGTAAGCATTTGGTTGAACTTTAGAGAATGTAAGAACTACTTAAAATTCTGTGTATGATTATATTTATATCTTTCTTTGTTTTTCTGTTTAGGATTACATGTCTTTGATTATATTTTCAAAAAAAATCTTCCGAAATACCCCTTTTCTACCCTTTTAAAAAACCTGTTAAGATCCAACAGTTCATTTGAACTTTATTTGTGAGGGGAAAATAAAACATGGGGGTAGTGGAGTTGGTTGTCATGTTACCTTTCCATTTATCCTCTTTGATCTATGATGTCTTTGAAAAGTTTTATTTCTAACTAATATATTCTCTTTTTATTCCCTTAGAAAAAGTTAGAGAAATTCAAGAAAAACTTGATGCTTTCATTGAAGCTCTTCATCAGGAGAAATAAATTGTAATTAAGTGAGTAAAATTCCTACTGCTTTGGTATTAAATATAAACTTTGCATTTGTACTTAATTTAGTAGTTTCTCCTTTTCCTAAAGCCTTACTTACTCCTTACAACTAGTTATAATGTAATTAGCTAATTTTAATGGCAGGAATCTCTGAAGCTAACTTCTGACTTTCATCCTATTATGTTCCATTTGTTCTGACTAACCTAAAAATACTCTTCTAGGCCTCATTTTAAACAGAATAGAAGGGATTGAAGTTGTAATATTTTATATTATGCAGTTCGGTCAATATTTTTGTATATAAGGAATTTAACTACAGCCATTATATCATCGTTGGATCGTATGTATATTTTAGCTTCAAAGGCTTTTTGGCTTGATGAACAATTCAGTAATCATTCTTATTCTCTTACATTAAAAGTATATATGGTAATCCACTTTCCTATTTAAAGTTACACATAGTCCTATAGCCATATAATTTGTACTCTTCTAAATGTATGGACTCTCCTACCTGGCTTAACAATCTGGCATTAGAAGCATGTTCCTAATAAAATTAAGGACTTCCTGATAGCAGAGTTGATTGCTAATTATCACTGAATAGTCTTAAGATGTAAGGTTTTAGCATTATTGAAGAAGTTGAAATAGGGGAAATACTATAAATGCAGGCATTAGCATTTATCTGAAATATTTAATTCATCCCTTTCATGAGCTTTCCCCTGTCAGCTGCCCGCAAGACAGAACTGAAAAGAGTAGAAATATGAGAATTTCCCTCTCTGGCACCATTAGCTCAGAAAAGTCCTTAAACCAGGCACCTGCTTTGCTCTTCTACAGAGAAGGTACTGAGAGAGCAGCCTCGGTAGGGAAGCGGGACTCAGCCCTAACACTGGCCAGAACATTGTGACACTGAATGAGAAGGAGGAGGTGGGAAGCTTTCAAGTAGTATTTTGTCTTTTTCTTTTTTGGTCTTTTTCTTAAGTTAACACAGACATACTCAAAAATAGACTCCTCATCTCTGACTCGGGGCAAAAACAGTGTGTTTTCAATGTATGAAAATTTTCATTTGAAACTATGAAGCTATGTGAAATCTGTTCTTGTTTGTCATTTATTATTATTATCATTAATATTAAAAATGAACATTTTGAGAACCTTTTGTATATGGAGAGTCTCCTCTTTAGTACCAAAGTTTACTTAGTATTTTTGTTTATCAATAGAGAGTTGGTTTGGGGCTTTTGATTGTTTATCTTTTGGGTTGGGGGAGAGAGATTGATGAAAGTTAGGTATCTGTATTTCGGTTTTTTAATGAAATGAGAAAACCTAACGCCAACCAGTGCTATGCATAATGGTGCCTCTTCCCTCAGAGGTCATTGTGACTAGCACTGCTGCTATGGAAAGCTTACTTTTTCCTGCCTGGCCCAAGAGCTGTCCAGGTGGTGGAAGAGCCAGTTATGAAGCTCATGGGCAGAGAGAGGCTCTGAGCACAGGGAACCCACCAAACTGGGCTTGTACTTTCTGTCCACAGGCACTAAGGCCTTTCCTAGTCCTTGGGATTTATGACTCTGAACTGTCACAAGTATCTGCAAATTAGATATATTAGGTTGATTTATTTTACAAAATGCAAATCTACCTAAGAGAATAAATCTGGGGGAAATGGTAGCCTTGGTTCATTGTGACCATTTTATTAGAGTTACCTGGCATCTTTAAATAATATTTTCTTAGTGGTTGGTTCAAACATGTTTGGATTTTTTTTCCCCCAACCCTAAAAAGTTCCTCTTTTTCTTTGATATCTTTTTTTTCTTTTTCTTTTTGGGTCACACCTGACAATGCACAGGGATTACTCCTGGTTCTGCACTCAGGATTTACTCCTGGCGGTGCTCAGGGGACCATATGGGATGCTGGGAATCAAACCCCCGTCGGTCGTATGCAAGGCAAACGCCCTACCCGCTGTGCTATTGCTCCAGCCGCTCTTTGAGATCTTTTTCAGTATTTTAAATACGTTACTTACTGAAGAATTTTTTGCTCAACACAGCCATAGACAAATTTCCTCTATTGATCCACTGTAATACAGTGATTTTAACTGTTTTCCTATAAGAAGTAGATTCTAGTATTTGTTGATCCCTACATCTTGTTAGATAAAATTATTGTAGGTGGTATTTTAAATAATTCTAATAAAACTGGGAAAATGAATAACACTTTAATTTTATTATCATCATGTAGTATAAAAGTTTACTTAGAAATTTTGAATTTGTTGGGTGGAGAGGTAGCACAGATGGTAAGGTGCTTACCTTGTACTTAGTCAACCCTGATTTGATGCCTGAGTGCAGCCAGAAGTGATCACTGAACATGGGGCCAGGAGTAAGCTCTCAGTATCACTGGTGTGACCCAAACCCTTCTCCTCACCCTCCAGGTGACCTCAGCAAAAGAAAATTTGTATTTGTGGGCCCCGGCCTTAATTTCTCAAATGTGCTTGTTTTTTTGCAGAATCCTGCTTGTAATTGCCTCTGTCTACATCTGAAGAGAGAAAATTCCGAAGTCCTGACTTTTTTTTTTTCCTTTCTCCTGCTATTCTGCCTTCCTAAACACAAAATAAAGTCATGGGATAAAAATCATTTTATGCGTGATCAGAGGCATTTTAACCTAAGCTGCCAGATGAATGGAAGAACAGTGGACACGGCATTCACATCGATTCCACATACTGAACTAACAGATCAGACGCCGTCAGTGGGTATGGTCATTGAGTCCTTAAATAAGACACTTGCTCTCCTGCCTGTTGTCTTCTTGATGGGGGCACTAGTCCAGCCGCTTCCTTTGGTGATGTCACTTATGGCCAGTGTTCTTCTAGAGAGGATACCGGGTGTCTAGAAATTAAGTGTGCCATTTTCCAAAAGCTATCGATTGTATATAGCGTGATGGTAACCACTGAGTTGTTGTCTATTTTGTAATGGTCTGTATTCAGAAACTCTTCAACCATGATCATTTGGTTTATATTCACCATGTGAAAGAAAAGTGGCTAAGAGAAACTACTCTGCGAAGTAAATTTGGGTCACAGCATCACCGTGCACATTAAGTGAAAGAGATGTCGACCCTCAGATGACAGTTTAGACAGTTGCCTTAGAAGCTAATTCAGTAGCAGGCTTGCCTGTTTGATTCAGCTGATGTTTTTGTAATCTCTCTATCCATTTGAAATGAATTCACTTTGAATGTTGTATAGTTAGGCGAGGCTTTCTGTGACTACTGGCTTTGGGTGGTTCTTTTTTTTTTTTAATTGTTGACAGAGCTATTGGATTATGATACAGGATAGGGAAGATTAAGAATAATCCATTGACTAATTTCACTTAGGCTATTGTCAGAGACTTCAATTAAGCATCAAGACTGTGAGACTGTTTTAAATAGAAATAATTTCAACAATTAGAATAATATTGATTATCTCCCTCGTAGCTGAATAAAGAAAATATTTAAAGAAAAGACAAGGGTTAATTCATTGCTGTTCAGTTAGTGTAATGCCCTCACAGCGTTTTCGTTTGACTCATACAAATATTTTCTTACTGGCTGGTCAAAGGACCTCAGAGCAAAGAATACGCCAGTCTTGACAAAATTTTTATCTCATTCAACTGTTCTTCGCTGCCTTTTCATTAAGCCCTTACTGTCATAAAAATGGCCATCATAAATCATTTTCCTTTTAGTTTACTTAATTTTGCACTTTATTCCCTTACCACCCTGCATGTTTCGTTTTGCTTTTTAATTTAGCATTCTTCACTGTGGCGGCTCTCAAGAGCTGACAGTGCGCAAGGCTGAAGGATGTCACAAAATATTTCAGAACTTGGAAATGCAGCAAAGATGTGTTCCAGGCTATTTGATAAGGAAAATACATCCAATTTCAAGTAGCCAGTAATATAGCCAATTTCATAGTCGAGAACATGTTCTGGGTCTGTTAGCTGAAGGGTGATGGTGAACATAGAGGAGATGCCTGTGGCTCTTTCACATTTGGTGGTGTCCACTCTGGTTGATGCCTTCTTGCCACTTCTCACTGGCCAGTAAACCTGTCACTGAAACAGGCGTCATTCAGTTATGGTTAGTGAGTTTGCAGCTGTAAAACACAATCAGTGTACAAAGTAAATCTTGTATTAAAAAGAAAGAAATAGGACCATATTTATTTCTGCGAGCTGTGGATAGGATACAGCACCCTCAATTGTGCTTCTTCAGATTTCTCCCAAGCAAAAGATTGATGAGTCTAGTACCTTATTCTCATCCCTTTGCAGAAATCTCAGAAAGATGGTGGCGAGGAGTCTATTTATTTGAGATGAGTATTTGTAATTTAAATATATAAATAGATGGTAAAAATATTATTAAAAACCACACGAGTGCAAACATTCCTCTATCCCCCGTAGTAATTGACTTCTTTTGTGGATTACTTAATTTTTCTCTTTTTAGCAGTTCTCATACTAAGCATGCTAATTTTTTTTCTTAAAAGCTAAGAATTTATTAAACACAGATGTTATTAACAGAAAAGAAATAAAATTCAGTCACAACAATAAACCCTGTGTTTTGTGTCTGTAGTTCCAAATTTGGGAGTGATTCCGACTTGCACATGTTCATGAATTCATTATCTTATCTAAAAGTAAATTCTAACCAGATCAGGAACAATTGTTTTTTAATATCAAAATTTGCAAAGAATGCCTACAGCTGATTTGGTCAGTGTACCAGTTTAAGAGCTGTATGTAAGCTATTGCTCCATCTGGAGTGATAGTCAGAGCTGAAGCAGTCTGCATCATCATTTCATTCTGTTCTCTGCTCTTTGTATTAACCCCTTTTCCTGGGCTTTATCTGGGGTCTCCTTCCTGCAAAGAATGTAGCCTCCTAAGGCAAATCAAGTTTCTGAATGAGTAAGGAACCCCACAGAGAGGCCAGCTTCCTTCCTTCCTCTCACTGGAGAAGTTTTGCCTACAGATACAGAAGAGGTTAATTGCTGAATTTTGTACTTTAAAAGTTTTAGATGTATTTCATTTTAGATGTGTTCATCCACAAGGGAAACTGAAGTGCAGCGTTGCCGTCTTCTAGGAAGGGGAAAGTAACGCTTTGTGTGTCAATTCTGCACGCTGGCATATGCTCCAGGCTCACATCCTTCAGCTGTTTGGACGCGTGCTTACACTGATGCTGACCTTCTCCACCCATCATGACTGCCTTGAAATATTTATGTTCTGTGAACTGTGAATGAACTTTGTATTTTTCAAAAACCACACTATATGTACATGTTGTTGCCATTTCTATTTTGCCTTATGCTTGATCTGAGGTCATCATTTGTATAGATGAGTAATTAAAGATATTTCAATCACATTATTATGCTATTATTGGAGAGCATCATTTACATTTTCTCGGTTTTAATGAGGGAGAGAGAGAGTGACCTGTGCACCTCGGGTCATAATTTGACCCCAGAATCAAATCGAATTCACGGTTTTACAAGCCTCTTAATGTGGCTCTTTTCCGGATGCTTGATTTTCACAGCCTCCCATTTCTCAGTTGTAATCCAGGATCAACCAGTGCTTCCTTTCACGCCTTGAAACGTGTCACAATATTTTATGACTTTAGTTGGTAAAAATATGGATCTAAAAAAACAACATTTTGCTGCTGGTGCCCATCATTTCGTTCATTTTTAAGTGCCGACCTGTTCAGTCATACATGAGACTTACTAAAAAGTCATTACCAGGTCTTAGAACTCAAAAGAACCTTAAAAACAAATTCATTCTTTCTACCACTGATCCCAAGCCCCCGTATCTCTTTTGTTTTATGCCTCCCGGAACCTTATGTGTGGTGCACATTAAATATCTAGATGTTGAGCATCATAGTTGTAAAATAAGCAGAGTATAGGTCTGTGTTCTTCCGAATTCATACTGCTGGCTAAAGTCCACACCAGGAAAAAACTCAAAGACATAATAGCTGAAGTAAGATGGATTTCTGCTGAATAGATGTTAAGAAATTACCTTTGAATTCCTTACAAGTTTTGTGGTGAAGGACATGTTTTAATCAGAGTAGTGTTTATTTCACTTAATCAGTACCAACATACCGATCTTAACCAAGCAGTAATTTTTGTCTATTTGGGGGCCACACCTGGCAGTGCTTGATGGGGGCCACTGCGGACTCGGGTTTGGTTCCCAGTGGTGGCCAGGAGGACTTACACACTGCCAGAGATCAAACATGGGCCTCCAGCATGCAGAGCAGGTACTCAGCTCATTGGGCATCTCTTCGGCCAGGGAAATATTTTGCTGTGGTTTGGGGGGCTTTTCTGGTTTCTTTTTTTGGGCCACCACACCCAGCGGTGCTCAGGGGTTACTCAGGAATCACTGCTGGCAGGCTCTGGGATGTCAGATATGGAATGTCAGGGATAGAACCCAGGTCGGCCACATGCAAGGCAAGCCCCTACCTACTGTAATACTCCCCAGCCCCCACAAGAATTGTATTTTCAATTAAGTTTGATCCTTATGAACTGCACATATCAAAGAAGTTTGAGAATTTCCTTTCTGAAGATGTAATAATCTGTGTTATTTCCAGTTGAAGAATTGATTTTTATCAAAGTACCAAATGCCATATGCTTGTAAATAAAACTAATGTGCTGTGCAGTTATATTGCAAAACGTGTTGTAAAATCAGCATCCTCAAAGAGGACAGACCATTAGTCTTGGATCACAAAGCTCAGGTTACCTTCCAGTTGGGAGATAGGAGGCAAAAGGTAGACTAAATTAGCATAACCTTGGTGGAGGTTCTCTACTGGGGAGAGTGAAATGCAGCAACTGCATCAAAACCACTGTTGTAAACTTGTGACCTAAACCACAGTGATAACAATAAAATAAGCATTCCCAATTTGTTTTAACCAAGACAGTCTTATTTCCTGCATGTATTAGACTGAAGTAATAGTTGGAGAAAACTAAGCACAACAAAAAATACCAAAGTAACACAGGATGAGATCAGGAAAGCTTATATGGGATTCATTTATCCTAGAGAAGACAGTTGTAAAAGAAGATTTTTTTTAAAAATGTACACTATAGGACGTTTGAGTTAAATCTGTTGTCTTGAAATGACAGCTGTTACCAGCTTAGACGCGCGTGAGACCAAATGTCTAAGAAATGAAAGGATGTAGATTAATTAGCTCCAGTGTCTTTGCTAGTTATCAGGCCAAAGATTCTAAGTATCATATTCTACTGAGGAGCAAAGTTTTAAACGTCCCATTACAAACTTTTGTACTTTCTGAAATATTTCTCACGAAAATACTTTAGGGAAGTGGATTTTTTTATGAACCCAGGAGTCCCTTAGGCCAGCAGTCTTCAAAAACTGGCCCATTTTTTGAAAACCATTTTGAAAACTATCTAGTTGGACTGCCTCAGAAATATTTGGGGAATCTGCCTAGGTAAGATGGGCGGGTGAGCAGGTCTGGCATGTTGAGCAGAAACTGCATTTTTGCCAGCCCATTGATGCCAGTCCACAGTTGTAGAAAGGTCCAGCTAGAGCTTGGTTACAAGTGCTGGTCCTAGGAAGGACAGCTAGAGCCACCTAGCTGCAGAAGTGGCACGGAATGGTTTGTTTTCCTTAAGCATTGCAAGAGTAGAAAGAGTAGCCAA